AGAGGCAGTTGTTCCCTCACGCACACACTTGTAACATACACGCACTTGTAGCATACACACACACACACACACATTGTAACATACACGCACTTGTAGCATACACACACACACTTGTAACATACACGTCAGTGTAAAATACATAACTTAACGCCCAAAATAAGCCTTGCAATGTACACGAGTTTGCAACGCGAATGGCTACAACACGCACGTTAGCAAAGCCATTTCGAAATGCACGGAGTTTGTCTAAGAGTCCCGGCTGCGAAGACAGCTTCCTACCCACGCCTGGTCTGCTACCCACGCCTTACCGGCCGGGTTCATACCCCCTTAAGCCGCCCCCGACCACCCTGAGTGTGTGTGTGTCATAACCAGCAGGGCTCCATCACCAAAATATCGCCCGGTCGACAGATTAAGTGCGTGTGAGTGCGGGTGTGCGGGCCGCTGTGACGCCGCAGCCTCTTACTGTCTTCCGCGCTCTTGTCGCCGCCATCATGTGCGAGGCTCCATTAAAAATATTATTAATCACAGCCGGTGTGTGGGTTTACGGCGGCCCGCTGTGAAGAACAACGAGTAAGGGGTGGTGGGTTGAGTGGGGGAGGTGGGGGCGGTGGTGGGATGGGTGAGGTACGAGGGGGTGGGGGGAAGAAGATGAGGAGAGAAAAGAACGAAGGTGATGATACTTACCCGGTACAGGAGATGCCGTGATCACGAAGGTGATGACAGGCGCGGGGAAAGGTATATAAGACATCCTACGTTAGGATTTTTGTTTAGCTCAACCACCCCGACCTCCCCCTCCCAGTGGCTTTGTTCCGATGATGGAGCAGACAGTAGTTGGCACCGCTAGGTGTTGTCAGGTGTTGGCATCGGTAGGTGTTGTCAGGTGTTGACACCCAGGGGAGTCGCGTGATGGGCAGGTCCCTGGCCGGAGCCGTGACCAGAGGAGGCAGGTGTAGACGGCTCAACGCCGCTGAGGTTTTTGTGCAGTTCGCGTCATTCTGATGATCGCGTCTGGGCCCCGGCGCCCTCTTGCCAGCCCTCGTGTGCTGTTCCTCACTCTCAGGAGCTACACACCTTAGCTACGAGAGGCTGCTGACGGTGGTGTTGGTGGTGCTTGTAGTGTTGGTGATGGTGGCGCTTGTAGTGTTGGTGATGGTGGTGCTTGTAGTGTTGGTGATGGTGAAGCTTGTATTGTTGGTGATGGTGGGGCTCGTAGTGTTGGTGATGCAGGTGGTGTCGGTGATTTTAGGAGTGGTGGTGGTGGTGGTGAAGGGAGGGAGTATATGCACACAATTTCTTTGTCCTCTGAATGCCAATAACTCAGCCGGACGGACTACAGATGAACATCACAAAAAAGGGGGTGAAATACAGCTTGTAATTAGAGTCAGCAGCCTGTCTCATGTACAATAACGTACACAGGTTACGACTTCCTTCAGTGATAAGAAACTACGGTACATGCAGATGGATCACTCTTCTTCCTGTATATTCTGTATAGTCATCCGAAATGCAATATTTATAGGTGATCATTTACAGGGGCTCTTTACGTCTACATATACAGACATGTACACATGTGAATACATATTTTGCGTGAATGTGCTAACAATTGTATTGTGAAATACATATGATTTCACACACACACATATATATATATATATATATATATATATATATATATATATATATATATATATATATATATATATATATATATATATATATATATATATATATATATATATACAATCACTCAGATGTAACATCAGTTTATACAAACATGCCAGCACCAATACTTGAATTATCAAAAAGAGTCAGATTATTTCACTTTGCCTAAATAACTGGTAATTAGCTGGCGTCGGGTGGTCCGGACGAGCAGTCAGCCGGACGCATAACTCCCACTACGGACGCAAATGGCACAAAATGAGCCAATCAGATCTCGGCAGTGGCGGGAGGTAATGGGGCAGTTAGGGCGGGGGTCGTTTGTTGACAGGGTACATCCTGTGGCCCCTTAGAGTGATTTGATGTGATGAAAGATCTCAGGGGGGGGGGGAGGGTTGCCCCCCTTCCTGAGGGCACTGTGTTTATCATGCTTGAAAACCGCAGGTTTAAGGTTTCTAGATGTGGCAAAAGTCGGCAGCTGACCTGATGTAGAGGGACCTAAAGGCAGGAGGATTAACAAAGAAATTTATTGTGCATTATGAGGATATTCTCAAGAACACGAGAGTTAATAAAGGGATTTGCAAAGCTCGAGGTACCTCATACCAGCAGGCTTGAGGGATCTAATGACTGGCCTTTCAATAATGTAGCGTTTGAAATCATGACCCGTGTTTTTTTTTATTAACACATTAGGTATATTTGCATTTGTGCAGCTGCCCTAGACTATATGAAGGGGAGTACAGTGTGTCAAGAAGCTAGCTACGTGATGCTAAAAGATCTCCATCACACAGGATGGTTAGTCATACAGAGGCACGTGATAAGTAGTCTGCACTGGCAGACTCTGGGTGCATTATGAGGATATCATGTTTATCACTTTCGAATGAAGAAAACTCTAGGGACTTGACTAGTTACCTTTCACCGATTTTGAGGTCACTTACCCCCCCACCCCCCTCTTAATTGAACCAATAGGACCGAGCCTTGTGGTCACTTACCACACGAGTCTGTGTTCGTCCCGTACCACATACCTTTCACCATGCAAAGTTGGGTGAGGTTATCCGCAAGTGTCTGATCTCTAACCTTGGACAAACAGACATTCTTATAGATATATACTGTACATATATATGTTTCATATTATCATCACTTATTCAGTGATGATACCTTTCCTGCAACGTTACATAGCGCGTATTAAAAATGATTAAGCTTGATCAATGAGTAATTCAAACTTAAAATTTGGCAGACAGATTGCCTGTCAAAAAACAGTTTAAAGTGGGTAATTATTACGCATGGTTCTGACGAGGTAATTTGATCCTTTGGTGCAAAATTTTGACTAATCTGTTGAGATTTTTTTTTTTTATAATGTGGATTTACTTCAATCGTGGACTTGAGTATTTTAAGAACATTTATATAACGTTTCGAAAAATTACACCGACATTAAAGTTATTCACTATTTTTATCCATTATAACGTTCTCGTGAATTTTAATGAACAGTTTCTCGCTAGTTACCGTCGCGAAAATTTATATAAAATTCCAAGTTGAAACATATTATTCAAACACAAGAAACAGATTTGTTTTGGTGTTAAATACTTGTTACGTTTCTGTTTAACTACTTCACTTTATCATGTAATTATTGGTTATTACAGGAATTTATAATTGATTGAATAAGATGATGATTGATTAAATTAGCGTGTATTTGAAGCTGGTAAAATAATTGACTGCCTATGTTGAATGACGGCTTCTAATATGTATTTACTTCAATTCATTGATGCTTATTTGGTTGAGCTTTAAACCAAAATGGGTTGATTGGTTTAGATATTAGTTAACTCCGTGAATGGTTGATATAATGAGACGAAGTCCCCCCTCACCACTCCTCACACATTGTAGATACGAGAGAGACGAAGTCCCCCTTCACCACTCAAACGGGCTCACCATAGCCCGTGCTACATGGACACTTCGTTCTAAGTAGCTAAACCAGAAACAACCTCACCACTCCTCACACATTGTGCATACAAGAGAGACGAAGTCCCCCTCACCTCTCAAACGGGCTCACCATAGCCCGTGCTACATGGACACTTCGTTCTAAGTAGCTAAACCAGAAACAACCTCACCTCTCCCCACACATTGTGGATGCAAGAGAGTGCGTGGCTCTCCTCTCGCTTAGTATTCACGGCCAGAGGCTTGATAAGGCGAGACCTACATCATACTCTTCCCCTTAAGTTAATTAGCATAGCAATCGTCTCCTGATCTGAGTAACAAGAAGCGACCATAATGTAAAAATTAGCCTTAGAGATTAGATTGAGAGCTCCATGGGACCTGTGCCAGGCCTGGAGTCTCCATACTGTGACTGTCAGAAGAGGACATGGATACTATATATATATATATATATATATATATATATATATATATATATATATATATATATATATATATATATATATATATATATATATATATATATATATATATATATATATATATATATAGGAATCCTATTGAAGATGTATTTTTCAATACGAAAGTACTAAGAAAATTCCTGTTTCAATTCTTCCTTCGTGGTCTGACTCTGTCACAGTTTTCATCACGTGTTAATTTTCGTGATTTACACACACACACACACACACACACACACACACACACACACACACACACACACACACACACACACACCATTTATCGGTGTATATATACTGAGAGTTTATTTTTGTCCAGGACTATGTTCAGGGCCTAAATTATAATTTAGTAGTTGATAGACCTCAAGGCCCAACGCCAAACCAAACCATGGATAGCGTCCTGAGCAAATTTTTACCACCCTTCGTCATCGTGACTCTTCAAGTAAATGCAACCCAACCCAACCCAACCCAACCCAAACCCAACCCAACCCAACCCAACCCAAATAAGAGATAAACTGTTGTGTTATATATTTGGTATGCACAACTAGGTGCGTGACGTCATAGTTTTGTCCCAGCTCAGGTCATAGAGTCAACAAGAGAGCTCCTACCATGAGCCACTCCCAGGTAGATGTCTCACGACATTCTTAAGAGTCTCTGGGTGACACTTTTCCGTTTGACGACACTTGGATAGGTGCAGGTAAGTAATGATTTCCTCGTCTGGTCGAACCCACTTAGAACTTTAACTAAATAAGAAGGATTTTACAGTTGACACTAATCATTTACTAATCATTGGTGAAAGAATATTTTAACTGAATATTGACTGGTCGAATTGGTTATAAGCTGGTAGAGCTGATTGCTGAATGGCTAAAATTAGGGCTGATTGATTAATTGGTAACTGTTGAGACTACATTTGCCTTCTTCTAGAATACTGGGAGAGCTCCAGTCTGTTATGTTTGATTGAAAATGTTAATTATAAGGTAAAAAAGGACTTCTGCAGTATCCTTCAGCAGCCACGGTAGTAATGAGTCTTATAACGACGATAACAGTTTGTAACGGCCTGAGAGCGACCCTCTGCTGGAGTCTTGGGCGGCCCTCCGCGGGAGTCTTGGGCGGCCCTCTGCGGAGTCTTGGGCGGCCCTCCGCGGGAGTCTTGGGCGGCCCTCTGCGGGAGTCTTGGGCGGCCCTTCGCGGGAGTCTTGGGCGGCCCTCCGCGGGAGTCTTGGGCGGCCCTCCGCGGGAGTCTTGGGCGGCCCTCCGCTGGAGTCTTGGGCGGCCCTTCGCGGGAGTCTTGGGCGGCCCTCCGCGGGAGTCTTGGGCGGCCCTTCGCGGGAGTCTTGGGCGGCCCTCTGCTGGAGTCTTGGGCGGCCCTCCGCGGGAGTCTTGGGCGGCCCTCCGCGGGAGTCTTGGGGCGGCCCTCTGCTGGAGTCTTGGGCAACCCTCGGGAGTCTTGGGCGACCCTCCGCGGAGACTTGGGCGTCCCTGGGGAGTCTTGCCCTCGCCAGGGGCGCACCTTCGCTGCTGGGGGCCTCGCCTAGTCTGGGCGGCCCTGCTGGGGTTCCCCTTCCTACCATGCCTCCCTGCTGGGGTCTTGGGGCCTACCATGCCTTCACCTGCTGGGGTCTGGGCACCTACCATGGTCTTTCACCTGCTGGGGTTCCACCTCTTGGGGGCCCTGCCTTGGGCGGCCCTCCTGGGGTTCCACCTACCATGCCTTCACCTCCGCGGGAGTCTTGAGCTCCACCTACCGCCTTTCACCTGCTGGGGTTCCACCTACCATGCTTCCACCTGCTGGGGGTTCCACCTACCATGCCTTCACCTGCTGGGGTTCCACCTACCATGCCTTCACCTGCTGGGGTTCCACCTACCATGCCTTCACCTGCTGGGGTTCCACCTACCATGCCTTCACCTGCTGGGGTTCCACCTACCATGCCTTCACCTGCTGGGGTTCCACCTACCATGCCTTCACCTGCTGGGGTTCCACCTACCATGCCTTCACCTGCTGGGGTTCCACCTACCATGCCTTCACCTGCTGGGGTTCCACCTACCATGCCTTCACCTGCTGGGGTTCCACCTACCATGCCTTCACCTGCTGGGGTTCCACCTACCATGCCTTCACCTGCTGGGGTTCCACCTACCATGCCTTCACCTGGTGGTGGTAAGTGGTCCCCCTACCTTTCCACGTCCTACACTATGCCCTGTATAGATCCTATTTAACCTGAGAGGCTCCTGCTGCGCCTCCATGTGTAAATAATGATTTGTATCTGTCCAGAAAGGTTTCTACTTTGTCCAGGAAGGTTCCTACTTTGTCCAGGAAGGTTCCTACTTTGTCCAGGAAGGTTCCTACTTTGTCCAGGAAGGTTCCTACTTTGTCCAGGAAGGTTCCTACTTTGTCCAGAAAGGTTTCTACTTTGTCCAGGAAGGTTCCTACTTTGCCCAGGAAGGTTCCTACTTTGTCCAGGAAGGCCCAGCAAAAGCGTATAAAACTTGCGCATTTACGGTAAGACAAAGGACGCCAGCTCGTCTCACTTACAGTCTGTTGAGATACTCTACGGGCAATGTTGCTATTCAGCTTGGTTGAGGGTTTACCAAGTTGTTTCATCCTGCTTGGATGATGTCTTTATTTCTGCCTTCTACGAGCCCTTGTGTCCGTCAACGTCTGCTCCCGTCACACACACACCTCTCTAGCTGTGCTCTCGTACATTGTATTACTAATGTTGAGTTTTTCCAAATGTTGTTTCGTGGTTGACGTCACAGGTTCGGACCCCAATTCCCGGCTTATGGAATTGCTCGGACTCTCCCGGTCAAAGATTGACTGGTGTTACTGGTTAGGAGGACTGAGGTCTTCCCGGTCAAAGTTTGACTGGTGACACCGGTTGGTGGACGCTGACAGTAGTACTCTTCCTCCACCCCTACTCCCTAATTATTATCTGGTCAACACTTCTCTTACAGTAGATATTCTGTAATATTCGCGGACTTCTTTCTGATTTCCCAGCAGAGCGTCACGTGTTGTCTCCCTCCCTCTCCCCAGCCACGCTCAGGTCTCTCATGCTCCTTCAACTGACCATTCCTCTTTTTCCCCACATGGTAGATACATGAGTGTTACCTTCTGACTCCTGTTAGCAGGCTGAGAGCTTTCCCTTTCCATAACTCACGTTAAGTCTTACCCACTAGTTCTCCGTGTAGCACAACCCACCAGAGGTGAACAGTTAAGAATTGGAGGCCCAATCGATCCTACCCAGCCAGGGCTCGAACCCTGATAAAATCGTTAGCGGGGCGAGTGTGCTACCACTGTCACTATTGTCTGCTGCTGCACTAATAGCCCACGCACTTCTCTGTCGTAATTCGAGTCGCCAAACTTTGCTTTTTAAGATCAAAATCTCTCAACTGCGCCTATCGTGTCATTAATCCCACTAACTACCCCTGACTTCTTCAATTGCCTTAATCTCAATCAGAAAACCGTTCATCTTCTCTTAAGGCCCAGGTAATATTCCAGCCCATCATGCATGTAGTTCACCTACATCTCTTCCCCCTCCTTTCACACCTCTAACTAATCCTCCCTCATGCCACACTTCCTCTTTCATCATCCTCGCCTCCTCTCCTTCGCTCGTTCCCTCCTTTTCCATAACCATTCTCTTTTTTTTTCCCCATCTCTCCCCGCCTCCACTATACCCATCTTTAATTTCCCTTTTCCTCCATCATCCTTCTTTCATCTTTCTCAGCTCCGTCTCATCTCTTTCCCCTCTCTCCTGTCTGCCCTTCCTCTACGCTTTATTCTTTTACATTTCTCTATCCTCCAGTATAGTACAGAAACCTTCCCTCTCCTTTTCTCCGAGCCTGTGTCCTTTAACTATCCTACCTTATCTCATGCCGCCCATTCTACCATTTCTTTCTCCTTCTTTCCATCCCAGCATTCTTTGCTTTAATTTCTTTCTCGTTTGCTACCTCCCATTCTCCCACTCTCCCTCATTACAGCATCTTCCCTCCCTTCCTGTTGCTCTTCGTCTTCTCTATTCTCTGTCTCTAACCATCTGATTACTTTCTTGCTATACCCCCCTTTCTTGTTGCCGCTCCATGTAACTCCAACTTCCGTCCTCTTCCCCTCCTATTCTTCCCTTTTCTGCACTCTTCTTTTCTAAGATCCTCCCAACATTCTTCTCTTCCACGCATCATCTTCTCTCCTTTTATTATCTCTTACCGCCTTAAACACTTGCGATCTCCTTTATTATTTGTCTCGTGTCCACGTTTCTTCAAACTCCATCCCACTTTTCCGCTCCCCCTATCCCTCTCTCTCCCTCTCTCCCTCCCACCTTCTTTCTCTCGGTCCCTCCCACACAGGCGAGGAGGTCCGTCAGGGCGCTAATGATAACAATTACTATGTCACTGTCTTGGGCGACTTGAATACAAACCGGGCCAGAAATGTCTCGATTTGAGGAGTTTTCAACTTAATTTATTTGATTATCATTTTTATTAATTGTGTTCAGATTATATATATATATATATATATATATATATATTATATATATATATATATAATATATATATATATATATATATATATATATATATATAGTATATATCTATATATAACTCTGGGGTGATATATATATAACTCTGGGGTGAGTCACTTCTAGGATGTGAGTTTTCAGTTGCATATAGTCCTGGGGATCATCAGGCTTGTTCGCATATATATTAATATATATATATATATATATTATATAATAATTATTAT